TCAAATCCTTTCCCTGAGACACCCACTCACCCTCCCTTAACCCAAGACAGCCTGAGCCCTGCACAGGGCTGGACAAGGTTGTGCTCAGGTGAGGCCTTCCCATATATCTCCAGAGCTTCAGAACAATGACCTGAATTGCCCACTTACATGTCATCATTCCACCAACACGTAAGAAGCTGCTACTCTCTGCCAGGCCCTGGGTCAGGGCTGGAGATCCAGGAGAACTTGAACCTGTCCTGTCTTTGAAGACCATCCACCTGGCTGGTAAGATGAGGCCAGGTCACATGACTTTCCGATACACGGAAGCTGATGACAAGTCTTGTGGGAAGGGGAGCAAAGGGGCTTCCTCGAGGGGGATGCACTCCTACTCCAGCAGAGACTGCCAGAAGCTCACCCACATCCCTCCTCTCCTCTCCTTCCCAGGCAGCTGCTGGACTACATTTCCCGGTCTCCCCCACAAATTCGTGTGGCCACAAGACCCAGCTGTGGTGACTGAATGTGGGCTCAAGTGATGTGTACCCCTTCTGAGCCTGGCGCCTCAAAACCCCAAACACTCCTTAATCCTCTCTTCCCCCTTTGAATGGCTAGAATAAAGATGAACCCCAGGGCTACCTTGAGACCCACATGTTGTAGATTTAGCCTGAGTCCTGGAAGGAGTGGGGAGTTGCCATCCACCCAGAATTGTTACATGAGCAAGAACTCGATTTCTAGCTTATTTGCCAGGTATTTGTAACATTCTATGTGTTACAGTAGCTAGGGTTAGCTAACCAGTACATCTGCCTTGAAGGCCCAATTATGTAACTTCTCCCCTTCACAACTCGCACAGTTACATTTGGTGCTGTCGTACTATGTTACCAATATTATCGTTACAACTTAATTCTTTGTTTAACTGGAGATAATACTTCTGACTAGTATTGTTTCACATTGGGATATTCTTATTCATTTATTTTTTTTGTTGGCTGGAATTAGATCTTGAGCTAGACTTTTCTGGAAGGATATGTGAGAGTTAGAACTCCTGCGTGTTTGAGAAGTTCTCTCTCTCGTCTTCACACGTGAATGACGTGCTGTGTAGATAACGCATTTTGGGGAAGGTATCTCTCCATCCCTCCTCCAACTCTGTAGACACTGGCTCACTGTGTATTGACAGGGAGAAGTTCAAGACTAGCCTGTATCACCTAGGGTCCTGGCAGGAACCAGGTGACACATTCAAACTGAGCAATTGAGCAGAGTTTAATAAAGGAATTATTTACACTCAGTTATAAGATGAATAAGGAATGAGGATCTATGTATAACATGGTGACTATAGTCGATGACACTGTTATATAACTGAAATATGCTAAGAGGGTATAACTTAAACATTCTCACCAAAAAAAAAAAAAAAGAGGTAAATATGTGAAGTGATGGGTATGTTAATTAACTCGATGGGGAGAATCCTTTCACAATGAATACATATATCAAATAATCACATTGTACATTTTAAATATCTTACAATTTTGTCAATTATACCTCAATAAGGCTGAAAAAATAAAAAACAAAAAACTATTTTCAAAGGTGTGGGTGGGGGTAGCTGTCAGCGCCACGCCCATGTGCCCTCAGCATCATCTCTACATGGCAACATCTACTTACTGCTAATAGCTGAGTCAGTCTCTCTCGCTCTTTCTGCTGCAGGTGGTTGCTAGCCAGGGGAGCAAGCTTAGCCAGTGTGTTGTGTAAACTAAGAATGCCAGGAAGTGAACGTCCTGGCAGCAGCCCTCAATGTCAGAGGGCAGGTGGAGGATAAACGCCCAGCGTCCCAGCTCCTCAGTTGGGTTAGCTCTTAGACAGAGTCTACATCACCGCTCACAGCTCCCCTCAGGGACTGGGCTCCAGGTGCCTGGTCTGGTAACCCGCCCATATTTGCTCCGCTCACTTCCTGTCTAACTTCCGCACTCCCCTCCCAGTGTTTCCTGGGATCTCTTCCCACAAAAACTACTTGCATTCAAATCTTTATCTCAGGCTCTGCTTCTGGGGGAACTCTAACCCAGAGCAGAGTTTAGGGAAAGCATTAAAAGGTGGTGCAGTGGCCCGAGGCTAGTCACAAAAGGAATCACTGCCTTTCAAGAAACGGGCAGGAGGGAAGGGTACGGTATGGAGAGGACCTGCCAAGAGCTGTGGCCCGAGAGGCACCGTTGACCCAGTGATTGTGCAAGGAGAGAGGGAATAAACTTCCTGACTTCTCCCTCCTCCCACCTTCTGATCTCCTGCTGGTGCCCACTATCGGCCAAACCCAACCAGAAGCCAGAGGGCAAGAGAGCCCATTGGTGTTTCTGCAGTGGTCAGCCTGCTTGACACAGAGCAGCGTGGAGAAGGGCAGAGAGTGTCTGGAGGGGCAAACAGGAGATTTGCAGCACACAGCCTGATTATTTTCCTTTGGGTTTGACCTGCTTGGAAAGCAGAAGTCCAGGATCTGGGAAGAGGCTTTTCCAGGTGTCAGGATGGAGTAAACTAAGGTGCAGGGACTGGAGGGGCTGGGGTGGGTAGGAGCTAGCATTCCTGTTATTTGCTGCTGCATAACAATCTACCCCAAGACTCAGTGGCTTCAAATAACCACCATTGTCTTATCTGTCACAATGTTGTAGGTCAGGAATTCGGGCTGGGCTCAGCGGGGTAATTCTTCTGTTCCATAAGGCATGACTGAAGTCACACGTTCAGCTGTCAGCTGTTCGGGTCTGGAGGGTCCACCATGGCATCACTAATGTGTTTGGTTTCTTGGTAGGGATGGCAGAAAGGCTGCTCCCAGCTGGACTGTCAACTGGAGTGACTACATGGATTCTCTAGTGTGATGGTCTCCAGGTAGTTGGACTTCCCACATGGCGACTCAGGGTTCCCAGAGAGAATGTTTGAGAGGCCTCGATGGAAGCTGCAAGGCTTCTTATGACCTAAGCTCCAAGTCCAGGAATGTCACTTCCACCACGTTCTATCAATCAAATAAGTCACTCAGTCCAGCCCAGGTACAAAAGGAGGAAAATTAAACTTCATCTCACAATGGGAGGAATAGCAAAGAACTTGTGTCACCTTTAATCAACCAGCAAGTCTCCAGGTTGACTAGTGTTTGGGGAATGTGCTGGGAATTGGTGAGACTGACGCTGGAGAGGGACTTGAATGTCACAATGCGGGGTGGGGAGACAGTCATGAGGTGGGGAGTGAAGGTTCTGGAGTCAGATTCAAATTGGAATCCCAGCTCTGCTACTTACAGCACATGCACCAAACAGGCTATTTCTGTCTCTGAGCCTCAGTGTTCTCATCTGTAAAATAGGAGATCAGTTCCTATTTCACGGTATTGCTGTAAAGATTAAATGAGATGGTGCTTATAAAGCCCTTCTTAGAGTACCTGGCTCCAAGTATATCTCAATAAATGGAGCCATTCTTATTTATCCTGAGTAACACAGAGAGCCAGGCAAGGGTCTTACAAAAAACCTCTCTGGCTTCCACATGTATTGGAAGAATTGTTTTTGACCTGCTCTCTCCCTTACACACAAATACAACCCAAACCAAGTCCAGCTGATTTTATCTCTTAAATGTACCTTGAATCCAGTGTTCCCCATCTCCCCCACTGTCACCACCATCTCCACCCCGACCACTGTGGTTGCCTCCTTCCTGCTTCCTCTGACCCTCTGTAATGCCTTCCCCTCACAGCAGCGAGCCCAGGCTTAACCTGCAACGTGCACACAAGCCACTGGGGATCTTGTTAACACACAGATTCTAGTTCAGTAGGTCTAGGGTGGGGTCTGAGAGTCCGCGGTTCTAATCGGCTCCTAGATGATACAATGCTGATGATTCCCGGGCCACACTTTCAGTAGCTCGAGAATATTTTTCCAAACAAAAGTTTGATCCTGTCATGCCTCTCTTTTCCCCTTATTGATTTGTTAATTTATTTGTAATATAATGACATGAAATAAAACCACCGTCCCACTCAAGTACTGGAACATGACCAATAACCTGAATGTACCTGTATGCTCCTCCTCCCTCCCTCCTCCCCATCCCTCTCCGTTCACCTGAGATAACCATTCTTACCAAATTTGTGTTTATCTTTCCCTTGCTTTAAATTTTTTTCTACTGATGCGTGTGTCTAAACATGCATATTTTTGGTTTTGCTTTTATTATACATTCTCAAAGTTGCATCATAATGTATAGTTTTCTGCAACTTATTTTTTCACTCAACGTTGTTTCTGAGATAGAGCTATGTTGTCGTCTGCAGCTGAAGTTCATTCAATTTCACTGCTGTATAATATTCCATGGTGTGAATATGCCACAGTTTATTTGCCCACTCGCCTGTAGATGGCATCTGGGGTGTTTCCAGTGTTTTTATTATTACAACAGCGCTGATGTGAACATTTTTGTACACGTTCTCTGGCTGCGTGGGCAGTTTCTCAAGGAGGGGATTTGTTGTCCCCCCTCCCCTGCTTTCATTCCCCAGCTCCCTGGGGTCTCTCACACTGAATGGCCTCTGCACCTGGGCTGCCCTCTTCCACTCCACCCCCAGCCGCCCGAACGCCCTTCACCCGGTAACCTCCTTCAGGTCCTCAGAGAAGCCTTCCCCGACTTGCAGGCCAGCGCTAGTCCCCATTAAAACTCCCTAATTACACATCTGTGTTGTGTGATTATGTGATGAGCATGTGTCTCGCCCAGTAGAGTGCAAGCCCCAGGAGGTTTGTGATGCTCACCGGTTCCCAGCTCCCCGCTCGGGCCTGGCACAGAGCAGGCGCCCGGGCAGCAGCATGCATGGGCTCCAGGGGCCGGGCAGGAGGCAGAGCCCGGCCAGGCGGCTGGAGCCTGAGCCCACAGGTGGCTCCAACCTCGCGTCGCGGGCGGGAGTTTTCGGGCGGGCCACGGCCCCGAGGGGCCTCGGGTTTGTCCCCGCTGCTGGCCAAGAATTCCAGGAAATGCGCAGCAGGGGACGGTGGGGCGGGGGCTTAGGAGAGGGGGCGGGGCCCGGGGCGGGGCCAGGCCGGGTTAAGAGGAGCGTGGCGGGCCACCAGGGAAGTGGACCCGCCACCGACCCGGCAGGGACTCTGACCTTCGGCGGAGGGAGCAGCGGCGGCGCGCACACTTGGCACCATGACCCAGACGCCAGCCTTCGACAAGCCCAAAGTGAGCGCGGGCGGGGCCTCGGGGTCCGGGGATCTGGTTCCTTGTCTGGCTGGAGGGCTTGGGGCGTCTACACCCCGGGAGCGAATGTGGTGGGGGGCCCTGCAGGCGCTTTCTTCCCTCGCTTCAGCCCCTTGACCGCCTCCAGGCTGCTGAACGAGACACAATGAGGCAGGGAGGGTCCTGAATCCAGGGGCGCCCCTGGCTGGCCTCCGAGTTCTGCTTTTGCCCCTGACTTGGCCCCCTCGGTTTCAGTTTCACCATCCATCAAATGGGCTTCCCAGCACCGCCTGCGCTCAGCAGCTGTGTGAGCCTAGGCATGGGGCTTGACTTCTCTGAACCTCAGCTGTACAATGTGGGCCCAGTGTCCACACCTATAGGCACTTAGTGTTGTGGACAAAGCATCCTGAGCGCTGGGTGAAGGGAAGCAGCTTTATTCTCCAACACGATGATTGTCTTGTAAGCACCGAAGAGCCCAGGTTTGCAGATGTGCCCAGGAACCCTGAGCCAGGCCAGAGAGGGGAGGGTGGGGAGCAGGGCCCCTCTCTCCATGCTGGGGGCAGAGGGGCTGGGTGGGCCTTGGGCCCTGGGAGGGTTCACTCGGGGCTAAGCCACAGCTGCTGGCCTGAGGGATAACTTGTCCCTCCTCCCATCAGCTGTGGTGTCTTGGGAATGGTGGGGTTAGGGAGGGTCCGGGCCCACTTGGCAGGCTTGGGAACACTGGGATTCAGTCCAGGGAGGGGAGGGGCCCAGGAATCCACCCAGCAGAGTGAATCAGCTAGTAGGGTTTGAGACAGCTGGGGGTTGAGGGGAAGGAGTGAGCTTGAGTCAGCCTCAGCTTACCTCTCTGAGAAATAGTGTGAGTGATGATGGCAGATTCTACAGGTGTGTTGGTGAGAATCCCGTATGCGTGTGTGAGTTGGGGGGGATGAGGGGGGAGGAGGTAAGGCCTGGCTCTCACTGCTGATGCCCCCACCACAGGGTACATGCCCAGCTACTCCCTGCCAGATGTTTCAAGTGCTGGGGAGCACTCCTGCCCCCACCCCCCATGCCTCCTTCACACCTCGTCTGGATGCCCCATGCCCCCTCATTAGTGCCTCTTACCTTTGAAGGCTTTTTTTTTTAATGCTTTTGGATGCCCTCTGCCCTTGGGCTGGGGAACTGTATGCACTAATTTGATCCTTGCAATACTTTTATAACAGCCCCATGAGGGAGGGACTATTATCCCCATTTTTTTGGCCTCACCCAATCTTCTCATCAGACTCAAGCTGGCAGGTCATTTCCGCTCTCTGGGCCTCAGTTCCCACCCCTAGGAAATGGGCCCCATCTGCTTGTGGGAGTGTCCAGAGGTTAATAGCTGATGCTTGAGAGTGAAGGTAGAGGGTCCCCACTATGGATGTGAGGTGTGATAAATTTCATATTATTGTGAGGAGGAAACGTGCCTGAGCTGGCAGGAAGCCAGAAGGAGCGTGAGTCTCAGCCACATTGACCAGAGCCAGCTCCCTGCCCTCCCACGGGTGGAGCGGATAATAATGAGATCACTAGTTTTGATAGCTGGGGCTTACTGACATTGCTCTGTGCCAAGCACCATTCTGAACACATTACCTGCATTCATTCATTTAATCCTAGCTATGACTCTGCGAGGTAGCTGGTGTCATCCCATTGTATGGATGAAGAAACAGAGGCACAGAGAGCTTAACTAGACCCAAGATCACACAGCTAGGAAGTGGCCAATTTGGGGTTTGAGCCCAGGGAGGCTCGCTTAAGAAATGCCGTCCCTCTAACCAGCTTTCCTGAACTGCCTCTGCAGAAGCCTTTGGGGCTGCAGAGATGCCAGAGCTCCAGCTGCGGGCCTCTCTGGGACAGGAGCCTTTGCTGGGCTCTTTGGCTTCTCATGCCTATCACCAGGTGAGGCCCAGGACCTGGCCAGCTTTAAGAAGGCAGAGCAGGGCCGTGCTTTCCAAACCTTCATATGTACTCAAATCACCTGACTTCTGTTAATGTTCAGATGCTGGGTTGGGAGGTCTGGGTGGGGCCTGAGATGCTGCACTAGTGACAAGCTCCCAGAGGATGCTGATGCTCCTGGTCCACGGGCCACACTTATAGCAAGGCCCTAGGCAGCTACAGTGTCATTGATTGTGTCATTCCAACACATGCTTCCTGAGCACTTGTTGGGCCCTGGAGGAGGTACAAAGGGCGATGGAGGGGTGGCCCTTATCAGTGTGTTTCCGCAGGAGGCAAGGCTAGAAAATCCCGCAGCACTCAGGAGTTCTTTGTCATGGAGGGCAGTGCTTACTGCATGCCTGTTACTCTAATAACAGCAGTGGCTGTCATCTGAGTGTGCGTGGGTACCAGGCACCTTCCATGATTTATCTCAAAATCCTCTGGACAACTTGACAAGGCCGATATCTCCATCCCCATCTACAGATGAGGAAACTGAGGCCTGGAGAGGTGAAGTGACTTGCCCAAGGCTACACAAACGCTGAGAGCCTCAAAGCTGTAGACTGGCGAGTGAGCTGGCCCAGGTTGGAACAGCACCGTCTCTAAACTGTCCCTTCCTGATGCAGAGGAGAGTTGGAGCTGAGTCTCCAATGTAGTTTCTTCTGTGTCATATTTGAATATTTCCTCCGGATCAGGCGCTGTTCTGACTGCTTTGCGTCTGTTAACTTATTTAATGCTCACAACTGTCCTTTGAGCTAGGTCCTATGATCTTCATTTACATATGAGGAAACTGAGGTTCAGAGAGGGGAAGGAACTTGCCGAAGTCACACAGCCAGAAAGCAGCAGAGCTAAACTTGAATCCAGATCTACCTAAAACTGAAGCAGATGCTCTTAACTTTGCTGATTTGCCATTCCACTTTGGGGGTGGGCGTGGGGGGAGGAGATAGAATCAGGGTGGCCTCAGGCTTCAGAGGGCCTGCGATTGGATCCCTGCCTAGCTCTTAGCAGCCCCAAGAGTTCAGGTGGACACTTTCCTGAACCCCAGCTTCCTCCTCTGTAAAATAGGCTGATAAAACCAAGGTCGCGGGGTTCTGTCCGATTGATGTGCTGATTGGCTGGCAAGCAGCAGGTGCTCAGGTGCATGCATTTCCTCCCCAGGGCTGCAGTGGGCCTCCTGGGGACTCGGGGAATCCTCTCCACCTGCAGTATCTTGCTCGCCTCTTCCTGCCACAAAACCCGCTGTTAGCACTGCTTTTGGCTTTCAGTGCTTCTCCGTTACCAGAGCCACCTGTCAAAATAAAATGCCCGCCTTAACCCTGTACAACTCACCCAGTGGTTGGGAGGGAGGGGAACAGAGTGAGATTGGGTTTCATGGGTGGGGGGAGGGTGGAGAAGAGCAGGGTTTGTGGTCACACAGCGAGGTGGGGGAGGCTGGCCAGCCTCCTGATTCCTCATCCGTTCTCAGGGTGGGCTTGGCCCTCGTGGCAAGCGGCCCTGTGAGCTGGGGGAAACTTGTCTACCTGCCCTGTTGTCCTAGCAGGTGCCCCTGGGGCAGAGGAGGGTAGGCCTGTGGCCTGGCTTTGGACAGGAGCAAAGAGTAGGCCGGGGGGACCAAAGTGAGGTTTGAATCTGCACTGACCCAGAGTGTTGAGGGCAGGCTCACTCTCACCCCTTAGGGTTCTGAGGCCCCAGAGCAGCAGGGTGGAGAAAGAGACGGCCTCTGGGGTCCTTGTGACCATCGAGGGAGAACAGCGAGAAATTGAAACTAGCTGGGGCCAGGCTGCCTTGGTCTGAGTGCTGATTCTCCACTTATCAGCTGGGGGAGCTGGAGTGAGTTATTTAACTGCTCTGTGCCTCAATTTCCCCAGGTGTAAAATGGGAATTATACTCGTATTCACCCCCCATAAAACACCAAGTGCAGGCCTGGTTGGGGGTGGGGCACGCCAATGCCAGCTGCTATCTATCACGTGTCCTCGTCGTGGTTACTCATCATTCCTTTCGATTTGACCAGCACTGACTCAGCACTGATATGCAGGACGAAGGGAGTGGATCGTGGGGATTGTGACCTCTGGCTTTGGAGTCAAACAGCTCACTGACTGTGGCACTCATTAGTCTGAGCCCTAAGGCAAGTTCTTTCATCTCTCTGAGACTCTGTCTTCTCACCTATAAAATGGGATAACTGTGCTGAGTTCCTAGGCTATTGCTCCACAGGATGTCCCCCTGGCTGAAAACACATGTGCCTTCATGAAACCTCTGGGGAAGCTCACAGCAGTCGAGAGCTCAGTCAGGCCCTGAGGCAGCAGGAGGCACTGAGGGACTGCTGGCCCCTTAACTGCTCTGCACCTCAGAGCTGCAGGAGCCCAGGCGGGGATGAGCACAGAGGACTTCCTGGAGGAGGTGTGGCTGAAACAATTTGTCAGCCCTGGGGCTGCTCTGTCTCCCGACCTCACCCCAAAAGTCAGCGGTAAAGCCATGGTGGCATGAGAGGATTGACCCTGGCACTGCCCAGCTCATTGCCTAGAGCAGGGCTAGGAAGGGAGGGGACATCTGGCTAAAAGTGGGCCCCTGTGGCTCATCCAGGTTCTGACTGCAGGCCCAGGTTCTGGGGGCTGACCAAGCAGCCCTGGCTCCTCTCCCCTGTCGGGTTCTCTGCCAGGCCTAGGGGATAGGTCAGCCTCTTCCTCAGAGCAGGGAGAGACGCAGCTCTGCTGACATAGAACAGGGAGAGGAGAAAACCATCACTTGGTCACTCTTCACATACTGAGCACTTTTTGCTGTGCCAGGCACTGTCCTAGATGCTGAGGGCACAGCATGATGAGTCCCCCTTTTCAGGGAACTAATAGTAGGGGAGACAGACATGGTAAGTAAGTGAATTTAAAAAGTCAGTGGGATGAAAACAAAATGGAGTGATGTTTGAGGGGTCTAGGGACCCTGGGAGAAGCAGTCTGACTTGGATATGCCTTGGAGGAGGCCAGCCCCGCCCTCAGGCAGTTGTGAGCAGGAGTCAGATCTGGGAGTGTCTGGCCTAGGAGTCTGAGACCTTGGTCCTATCCTGGCTCTGC